CTCTCTTGCAGCAGCTTCAGATGCTCTGCGACGCCGTTCAGGCAAACGTTGCATATCTTCGCTTGCTCTATCGCTGCTGCTGCTGCTGCTGCAGCGGCGGCGACTGCCCCGTCTGCCAGGCAAAGGGGGGAAGGACGGCGTCTCTCTTTGTGAGAAACGAGCGGCAGCAGGAGCAGCAGCAGCAGCAGCAGCAGGCGCTGGTGCATCCACAACTGTCCGCGCTCGCTGCAGCAGCAGGTCCCGTCCCCGATGGTGCCTCTGCCGCACCCTCTGCTCGTGGGGTTCGCCATGCCTTGAGCTTGCCGGGGTCTGCTCCACTGCAGCAAGAGCTTCAAGAGCTTCATCTGCAGCTATGATTGCTTCTGTTTCTTCAGGTGCATCTGATGCTGCTGCTTCCGCTGCAGCTGCTTCTGCTGCTGCTGTAATGCGTGTGTCACCATGCTGCAGCGCGGGACTCTGGTGCATCGGATTGTTTGGATCTGTGTGGAAGAGAGCAGAGAAAGCCACTTGGGGAGAAGCGCCACTCAGCCGGTGCTGCTGCTGCTGCTGCTGCTGTTGCTGCTGCTGCTGCTGTTGCAGTCGGCATGAGCTCCCGTTTGTATTGCTGCTGGGGCTGTTCCTTCTGTACCGCCTCCGTGGGTTCTCCCTACTACTCTTCCTACTGCTGCTGCTGCTGCTGCTGCTGCTGCTGCTGCTGCTATGATGGTCCAATGATGGACTAGCAGCGGGAGACCGCCAGCCGCCATCCTCCTGCGCACACATAACAACAGCACACTTTGTGAATGCAGGTGCATGCATTTCTTGCTGCTGTAGCCCCTCTGAGGCTGCAGCAGATCCGCTGCAGCACTGCTGGTACGCTCATGGTGTGACAGGCAATGCAGTTTTTTATTTTTTTTTTTTCTCTCGTCTACATATAACTGCATTTGTTCAGCATATATATTTAAAAATATAAATTTAAAGGGGAAAGTACCTTGCTCGGCATCAGTTGCTGCACCTCAAGATCCGCTGCTGCTGCTGCTGCTGCTGCTGCTGCTGCTGCTGCTGCTGTTTCCTGTTCGGGTTCAAGTAGGGCACTTGCATCTGCTGGAGCGGCTGCTGCTGTTGCTGTTGTTGTTGCTGTTGCTGCTGCTGCTGCTGCTGTACCTGATAAAGATGGCAACTTTCTCTGGGCTTGGCGAGCAGCAGCAGCGCAGCGCAGCACAAGTCGATGTAAGCCGGCGACGAATGCTTCTAAGAAAGCGATATCTTGCTGCTGCAGCGAGCTGAGAGAGACCCCACTGACGGAGAGGCACAGCGGGCTTGCCGAGTTATCCTGCTGCTGCTGCCCCTCCTGCTGCTGCTGCTGCTGCAGCAGCTGCAGCTGCTCCTGCTGCTGCTGCTGCTGCTGGGGTGAGTGTACAGCTACATGGTCCCGAAGCGCCAGAGCGTCCAGCAGCTGCTGCACCGTCGGCGCCGCAGGGCATATTGAGCTG